ATTATTTTAAGTAAATTTAGAAGTATTGTATTTTTTTTTAATCAAAATATTAACTTTGTCAGTGTCAAATAAATGGCAACGAATGAAAATAGTGATTTTCACCGTAAAAGGTTGAAATGCCTTAAGAATGTGAGAATTTGCGACAATAGTTACCAATTTCACAGGGACCCAAAACGATGGAGGTAATGGAAAGACTAGATGTTAATTAAACGGATTTCGTCAACCAAGAACTATGGTGCATCGGAAATGATATGTTGGGGATGTGAATGCTAAAAGAAATAGAATGGAGACCTATTTGCTATCAAGTGCATAGGATCTGGACTAAAGCTGTAATTTTCCCCTATGATAATTGGTTGTTCAATTTGACACTACGATTTCTCAGTTGAATCAAGAGCCATGCAACTTCAAGATTCCTTGAACACAAACGCTAATGTATTTTCTTGGAAATTTAGTAAAAATAAAGGTAAAATTCTTAAAAAGTTGGTAACAAAACATGCCAATTTCCCACTAAAAAAATTAATAGGCCCTGTTTGGTGAATATTAAAATCAATTTTTTAGTAAAAATTGATGAAATATATAATTGAAAAGTTGTGAGTTCCATAAAAATATGTGGTTGAAATTGATTATTAACTTTAATTTTAATTTTAATCCTTATCAAACATAGACTATATTAAACAGCATACCCAATAGACTACTTATACTCCTTTATGGGATGAGAAGAGACAAATAGTAAAAAATGGTCATGAAATAGACAAAAAAAAAAAAAAATTCTAAAAATTTGGTAAGAAAAGTAGAAAAATAGTCAAATAGACAATAAACTATTTATACTCCTCTAGGTGGAATAACAGAGACAAAAAATAGAAAAAGGTGGAGAAATAGTTTATTCTCCTCATGCTTCAAATTTGAATCTTTTGCCAACTCAGCTTTCCTCTTCCCCTCCCAATCCATCGGCTTCCTGCTTATTTACTCGTTCACAAACTGGTTGTTCCAAGCCTAAATCATATAACAGACTAACAGTCATAATTAAAACTATGATAAGAGATTCATAACTCCAATAATCTCCCAAATATATATGTTCAAATTGAACATAACTCCAATTAATCATAACAAAATACCAATATAATATTACAGACTTTCAGTTTACAATTAATCAATTAAATAGGCAATATATATACATGTTCAAATTACTTATAATCTCCAATTAAATAGCGATATATATGTTCAAATTACTGAAAAGGAAGATGAAAAATCAATTACACTTGCTTTGCAGCCAATCGGGCCAAA